CGGACAGGGAAGATCATTGGGACAGGCCATAAAGTTGGGAGACTGTTTGAGCTATCATCTCTTCAATTACCATCTCTTGCTGTTGCTGTCACCTTTAGCGTCTGACATTCTCGCCTTGGTCACATTTCTACCTCTAAATTAGGATCTTTAATTTCTAATGGATGTTTGGGTCCTGTTAAACCAACACACTTTGATTGTGTTTCATGTCCTCTTTCAAAACATCATGCTTTGCCTTTTAATATAAGTGATTATGTTTCTTCTGCACCTTTTGATCTTATTCATTTTGATATTTGGGGCCCTTCGCCTTATAATACCATGGGTGGTTCGCGTTATTTTGTGATCTTTGTTGATGATTTCTCTTGATATACATGAATTTATCTCATGCGTAATAAATCTGAATTACCTGCAATTTATATTCAATTTGCCACCATGATCAAAACTCAGTTTTTCTCTATCATCAAGATTTTTCGCATTGATAATGCCATGGAATATAGAGATTCTATCCTTATCCAATTTCTTTCAAAAAATGGAACTATCATTCATAGATCTTGTCCCGGTACCTCTCAACAAAATGGACGTGTAGAACGAAAACATAGGCATATTCTTGATACTGTTCGAGCTCTTTTAATCTTTTCCTCTTGTCCTGAACATTTTTGGGGGGAAGTAGCCCTTACTACTGTTTATACCATCAATCGCATCCCTTCTCCTGTTATTGGTAACATTTCTCCTTATGAACGATTGTATGGCCATTGCCTACCAGTCTCTTCGTGTATTTGGTTGTGCTTGTTTTGTTCTATTACAACCTCATGAACATTCTAAATTGGAACCAAAAGCACATCTATGTTGTTTTCTCGGGTATGGTATTGAACATAAAGGATATCGGTGTTGGGATCTTCTTTCCCAGCGACTTCGCATATCTCATCATGTTACCTTTTGGGAACACAAAATGTTCTCCAGCCTCTCCCCATTTCGAGTTACCACGACCTTTTCACATTTTTTTACTGATCCTACCATCTCGCTTTTTCCTGATGATTTACATGCAGGTCCGACTACTTCTTCATCTAATAGCTCTAACAGTACTGCACAACCTGCAACCTCTCCTGATGCATCTACCTTGGCTATGGATCCTCCAACTCTGCCTTCCTCTGAGCCCTTGATTCCTCCTGATGAATTCAACCCTGCCCATTCTGATGTTTCACTCCATCGCTCTGGTAGGGTCACTAAACCTTCCATTCTTCTTTGTGATTTTCATTGTTATTATACCATTGTATCTTTATATGAGCCTTGTACCTATCGCGAGGCTAGTACTGACCCTTTATGGCAGAAAGCAATGACAGAAGAAATTCAAGCTCTTACAAGCACTCATACTTGGGATTTAGTTGACTTGCCTCCAGATAAATCCGTGATTGGCTGCAAATGGGTCTACAAAATCAAGAATCGGGCAGATGGTTCAGTTGAAAGGTATAAAGCTAGATTGGTAGCTAAAGGGTTCACACAGGAGTATGACATTGATTATGAGGAGACTTTTGCCCCAATGGCCCATATCACTTTTGTTCGTAGTCTTATTGCGATTGCTGCAGCTAAGCACTTACAGTTATTTCAGATGGATGTTAAGAATGCTTTTCTCAATGGTGATCTTTCTGAAGAAATTTATATGCAGCCCCCTCCTGGTTATGATCATCTCCCTAATAAGGTTTGTCGTCTCCGTAAGGCTCTATATGGACTTAAGCAGGCGCCTCGAGCGTGGTTCTCCAAATTCAGCTCCATTGTTTGTCAGTTTGGTTTTCAATCTAGCACTTATGATCATGCCTTGTTCATCCGAAAGACCTCTCAGGGTTGTGTACTTCTCCTCCTTTATATGGATGACATGATCATTACTGCCGATGATTTGCAGGGCATTTCCGCTCTTATGACCTTTCTTAGCAAACAGTTTGAAATGAAAGATCTTGGTTGACTAACTTATTTTTTAGGAATTGAGGTCTCCTCCGACCAATCGGGATATTATCTGTCTCAGGCCAAGTATGCCACTAATCTTGTTTCTCGTGCAGGACTCACTGATACTAAGACTGTTAACACTCCGATTGAGCCTAATGCCCATTTTTCAGCCACTGATGGTACTCCTCTTAGTGACTGCACCTTATATCGGCAACTAGTTGGTAGTCTTGTATACCTTACTGTTACTCGCCCTGATATTGCGTATGCTGTCCATATTGTGAGTTAGTCCATGTCTGCCCCTCGCACTACTCATTATGTTGCTGTGCTTCGGATCATCCGTTATGTCAAGGGCACTTTGTTTCATGGACTTCACTACTCCAGTTCTTCCTCTCTTCAATTGATCGCATATTCTGATGCTGATTGGGCCGGTGATCCTACTAATAAACGCTCCACTACTAGTTATTGCTTCTTTTTTGGAGATTCTCTTATATCTTGGCGTAATAAGAAGCAAACGGTTGTTTCTCGTTCCAGTACTGAAGCTGAATATCGAGCTCTTGCTGACACTACCTCCGAGCTGTTATGGTTACGATGGTTACTCCATGACATGGGAATCACTCATTCATCTGCAACCCCTCTTCACTGTGACAATCGTAGCACCATACAGATTGCCCACAATGCTGTATTTCACGAGCGCACTAAGCATATTGAGACTAATTGTCACTTTATTCGTCATCATGTGCTCGAGGATACTGTTCGCCTTATTCCTGTCCCTTCCTAGGATCAGTCTGCAGATATATTCACCAAAGCTCACTCTCCTCTTCGCTTTCGTGCTCTCGTTGACAAACTCCAGATGACTGATACATTACCATCTTGAGTTTGAGGGGGGATGTTAGCGTATTCCATCAAAACTAGGAGATATAACTGTATATATCTTATCTCTTATTTCTTTCCTTCTTGTATCCTATTTTAGGTTGCCGACCTTGTCTCCCTACTGTATCTCTATTATAAATAGAGTTGTAGCCTATTGAATAGAAGATCAAGAGAAATTACTATCTTCTCCATTCATCCATCTTGGTTTTGTATCACTACAAGTAAAAGAGAGGAGAAGAACCGAAAGCTTTGTATTGATACTTGAGAGAGAGAGAGAGAGAGATTAGTGATAGTGTCCGGAGACTTTTCTCTTTTTTCGGATAAGATAATTTACGATAGTTGAAGGAAAACTTTTCTCCCAAAAATTGCTTTGGTTTTGGTTTGAAGATGATGGAATATTCAAAGGAGAAGAAAGACAAAAGTATTGTTGTAGGGATGAAAAAAATTGATAGTTGATTCTGATTTTAGTAGATGACTGATAAAGAAAATTAGAAGACACTTGAAGGGCATTTGTGTCTTTTCACATGTCACTTAACGACTGATACTAGATTGGCACATTTCAAAAATTCGGATACTGGATTGTTGCATTTTAAAGTTCAGAGACCAAATTGTCACTTGGACCAAATTGTCACTTGAGCCAAGGTACAAGGAGATCAAGAATTTTTCCTAAAAATAATATATAATATATAAGTTAAAATGATAGAAAATACAAAATAGAGGTTTATAAACAATAAGTTTCATTTTTAAGCATTAAATAAAATAATAACTAATCAACTAATAATCTTAAACGAGAAGAATTCCCTTGTTCTAAACTCAAACCGTGACTCATGACTAGTAGACGTTTAATATATCAGTGAAGGTGAGTTTCCTATAATAGTTCATTCCTGATCTACGTTGAGTTTTATGACTTTTTCAGTTATCTAATTGAGTCAAGCTTTTTATATTCGGTTAGATTAATTTCTAGTTGAACTTTTTTACCACTCAAATGTAATTATGCATCTATTTATCTGGTCTAGACCTATTCATGTTCCGGGCTCGAGTTTGGCTTTTGCCAAAATTTGAATGGGCCTGGCCAGAGCCGAAAACAGAATGAAATCAGGCCTACAGTCCAGCCTGTGAACAGGTCAAATCGGGTCCAAGGTTTAAAGTATCAATATGACACACCCCATACCAATCATATTGTATCTTTTGATAACAAAACACCTATTTACAGGTATTTTTGAAAACCCCTTTTATTAATGAAAATATATATAAAAACTATATTTAAAAAAACATATAAAAAATACAAAATTTTAAGTACTAATACACCTCTACCGATACACAGAGACGATTCTTTGGATCACAAATGGATTCACTGATTCAGTAATAAAGCATTGATCCTCCTCTTCCCCTTTATCGTTATCATCATCTTCATCCTATGATGTGCTAGAATCGACCCCCTTTCTCACCAACTAGAACTGGCCTCTCGGACCTTCTTAGGAACCTTCTTACTGGATGGCGAATCTCAGTTTAGCCAATAATAATCATCAGCATTTATCAGAGGATTGGGCTCCCGTGGTCGTCGAAACGGTTAATTCATGTGGCAGGTGAGGTTTTAATCCAATATAAAAAAAAATCACAGCTCACCTCACACCAACCTCACAACACGTTGCAGCCATTGATAACATCTCCCAATGAATGATATCAGCGCCCCACAGAGCGGTCTGTGGGGCAGCTGATGCAAATTTCATATACAAGTGTATGGGAGATATTGGTGTGCAGCTGCAAGTGCCGTGAGGTTGGTGTGAGGCGCACTCTATGAGGAGAAAATCCAGATTCACTACAGTAACCCTATATTTTTGATACTGTACATCCAAAATAAGGAAACATAGTTTAGGGAATTCCTCACCAAGAGAGAGAGAGAGAGGTGCCTTCACGAACAGACAAAGGTGGTGCATGCATAGTCGTCATCTGTAGCATGCGGCCATCACACTGAGTACTACAATGACGTTTTTTTAGTTTCCTAATAGAGTAGTAGTAGGGAGCCATGGATTCCATGGTGTTGCAGCAACTCACGAAAGTAGAATCTTAAAAGTTAAAACCCTTGAAGAATTCAGAAGTACTCCCGGCCCCACTAGAACAAATTTTGATGTACCCAACAGAACATCAATGGAAATTCAACTAAGGTATACAAACTTATCACAGCCAAAAGAAGATAAAAAGAATAAGTATTAGATACATAAATATTGTCCTTACCAATTTATTAAGTGGAACTCTGTATTTCTTTATATAGCAAATAGAAGTACAACAATTCATTCCATGTATCAGGAATGCCTGGAAGGCACCAATGGCTACAATCTTGAACACTTGAAGATGAACCCTTGTCTGGTTTTCTTCCATATACAGATGGGTGACCATCTATCCTATATTCTGACAAATTAGTAATATTCAATAAAATTACAGGAGTTTTCATTTGCTTTATGACTTCTTCAGCAATTATATTCTTTTCAGGGTAATTTATTCCTGAAATATTGTTGAGGGGTTGGGTGGCCTCCTTGCAGTGTCCCCCAGAGTTCCACTGGCCGCCCCTATTCATTCAATAAGTACATATTGCTAAGCAACTGCAAACAAGAGAATTAAAGAGCAAAACAAATAGTAGATTTGTTCTATAAAATACCTGAAATGTGAAGGGGCTGAACTTCGAAAGAATACTCGAGTCTTGTGTGGATTTATATGTTTATCGACCCATGATGCCCAGGTTATCAGGGCTCTTCTAAAAGCCACAGAGACATCCAAATGGGGATGAACTTTGTCGCCCTCCTGGTAGTAATTCACCCTGTTGTAAGTCAATGGAAGTGATGTTGAGTCATTTCAAGTAGCTAGGGGTTTGATTTCACTTCAGATTCCTTCAAGATTGCTATTAGACTAAGCTATAAAGGAATCAAGTTAAAATGAAACCATCTAATTATAGTAGTGCAGCCAATGTGCATTATCAAAACATTGAATGAACAGGATTGTCCAAGCAAGGCACTCACCCAGCTTTTGTTTTGTAATGTGACCACCAATGTGCAGTGTTGAAAACAAGAATATCAGCTCCCTTCCATCTTGAAGTGCCCCTGTCAATGGAATCAATTCTCAATGTAGGCACCCGCTTCTGCCCAACTCTTGCCTTGCTCTCATGGACCAAGAAATGGGTAACATAGTATTCAACTGTACATTTGTAGTCCTGCAGAGTCCACCTAATGAATCAAAGATCTTGAAACTTGAGACAATCAAAAAGAGGAAAAGCAGCAGAAGATTAAACAACCAGTGTCTTGCAAGTATACCACAAATTTGAAACTGTAATTTCCCTTCTCCTTAGTGATCCTCCTCCCATGAGTTTCATAAACTCGCTTTGGATCTTTGATGGCTCCTTTTAATAAACACAACATGGATTCCCATTGGTTTCTGTTAATCGAATCACCCACAAAAACCAACCTCTTCCCTCTGAGCAGTTCCAACATTTTCACTGCATTGAACCTAGAACAAATAACCCAAACATGGGGTTCTTCAAAAGTTAGTTCTCTCTTGTTTCTTTTAATGAAATTTAGCTTCAAGTAATGAATGATAATCTAAACTTCGTAGGATTCATTGGATTCAATCTCAATCACTTCAATTGATTAATATTTCAAAAATAACCACAAGAGGGAATCGAGCGGTACCTTGGGATATTACAGTCATGTGGTTGCCATCTCCACTTGAAGTAATCCTTATCCGGTCTTCCATTAACCTGACAACTAAAACCTTCATCCACGAAGGGACACGAACCATTTGTATACAGGGGATAGCTCTCATCAAAAACCCACCTCCCATTTGAAATGTCACATTTACTAGTCATCTTCTCTCCAATCCTCTCATCGCTTGAAGCATCAATTCTCTTAGACGAATTATCATCATTTTTGCTGTAACTTTTTGTGGCCGAAGTACCTTTTCCGACCTCACTTTGGTTACCTCCATCCGAAACCCCATACTCATTCTCTTTTATCTGAACCTTCCCGATGACTGAAGCGACACTATTCCCAGAAGAAATGTCAGGTATCCTGAAATGGGTATCTACAGGAGTTGTGTTTCTTGCCGCATGGTAAGTAAAATTCTTGTTAAAACCTGCAAACGCCTGAACTTGAAGGGATTTGAACCCCAAACTTAAAGACGACTCGTTGAACTGAAGTTGGGTTGCTTGAGGAATTAGAGGGGTGCGATTAAGAACCCAGATGGAGAAGAAAAAGACAAGAAGGAGGGAGGAAGATATGGTGAAGGAGAAGACCAGAAGTCTTGTGGGCTTGATGGAGAAACTCCTCTGCTTCTCCATCGTCTGAACTCTGAAGTTTTGGGATAAAGAAGAAGCCTCTCTGCGGAAGAAAAGGGGTAGTTTTTTGATAGGTGGCAATGGAGGACGAGGGTACATGTGCATGTCTAATTAAAAAATTCGGAAAATAGAAAAAAATAAAAAAATAAAAAAATGGGCGGGACATGGACAGAGGACTGTTGCGGAAAAATGTGGAGTAGGTTCTGGGTTCTCTCACTTTTCTGGCTTTTTCAGGTGATGTGAGTACTGAGGAGTGGGGCTTCAACGAGGTCTAGATTTACCAAAATACCCTTGGGTGATCGAATCAAACCATTGATTCTATCGTTCACAAAAGCTAGAACTTTAATAAAAGAAAGGCAAATTTTATGGCAAACAACGTACAGATTAATTAGTTAGAAGAAGCACAGAAAGCATTATCTCCAGGAACAAGTTTGTTAACTAGCTTTGCTTTGATAAAGGTAGTAGGGATTAAATGAGAATTCCACTTTTCACTTTGACGATTTTTTTTTTCTTTTTGGGTGGTGGGGGTGGGGGGATTGATATTAACATTAGTCTGTTGATTACGGTTTTGTAAGATAAACAGGAAGGGTATTGTAAGAAAGCAAATTCTGAATAAGGGGTGGTTTGGTCATTTTGGTAGAAGGTTAGGAGAGAACAATAAAGATATGGCGGTGTCTCATGTCGCTGCCTCGCTGGGCCTGTGAGTCAGCCAAAAGCCCAACCCAACAGACGACCGTTTCTTTAGATTTGAATGGTCTGAGATTCGATCTCGTGATTTTACTCTTTTTTATTTATTTATTTTTTGGATATCAAACAAGATAGATAAATCGTGTGTGGGTGGAAAATTAGAAGTTTTTAGAATAAAAAATAGAAAAAATGGAGAGGAGAATCGGATTCCAATTCCACCCAATCAATCAGTTGGAATGGAAATGGACCATTCCAACCTGATTCAAAACCTCTATTCCCACAAATCAAGCGGACCCAATGTTTTCGAACCGCCGTTGACCCAGATGATCGGACCACTCGGATCAGAAGTTGTCAAGCGACCGGTTTTATTTTACCTCAAACCCAGTCTTTAGTAAAAAACCGTTGAATTAGTCAATAAATCGTTGACCCGGATGGTTTGACCATTGAACCGTTCGACCCAAAGAACAATTTGCGGTTTATTACTTCTGACATGAAGAACAAGAATGAAAAGAGAAGAAAATCTCTCATATCAGAGATCTACTAGAGAGAGAGAGAGAGAGAGAGATCAGTTGAGGGATGTGAGACAGTGACAGAGATCTGAGAGATCTCACATTTAGGGGGTTTTCTGTAGTATGGATGAGAAATTGGTGGGTGTGGATTGGTCCACACCATACCCTGTGGCAAAGGACCAATCCACACCACACTACAATCCATAACTGTTCTGAACTGTGGACAAACTGTGTGGATTGGACCAGTCCACACCACACTTTTTGATTCCATATATCTTATATACATTTTATGAATGATCTACACAATTAATCATAAATATCTAATTTTTACATTTTATATGATAAATGTAGTGAAAAATGCATCAATGAATTAATATTAACTAATAAATATTAATTATTTATAAAAATAATAGTAAAATGATTAAAAATTAAAAAATATATATATTTTAAATATTTAAAAATATTATTTTATTGATAAAAACATTAAAAATTTTAAAAAATAAGTAAAATAATTAATATTTTATTAACAAAAATATTAAAATGTGAAACATACAATAGGGTTTCAACCTTTTCAGGGAGAGTGTGAAGCATGGGATCAAAAATAGACTATGGACGGGCCCTAACCACGAGTTTTTGCCATGGATGAGAAACTGGGGTGTGGACGGGACCGGTCCATGATATAGCTATTAGACTGTTATGCCCTTAGCTCCAATCGGATTGATGTATCTTTTGACATTTATTGTAAATGAATAAAGTACATAATTGATTCATGTCATTGTGGTGTGTTTCTATGTAATACCCTTAAACTGGACACTTATGAGACTCGTGTTAGTTTAAAATATTCACAACCGTTGGATAGATCTGGGGAGATTTATCCTGTCAAGGCTGACACTGATGTGCCGCCAACCTGGTTTGGGTGGTTTGTCTCAACTGCCAAGGTGAGACCTGAGGTACATGCAGTGTGGGCTTTCTTGAAAACCTGAGCTAGACTAAAATTCCAGTATTGCCCTGGACCTTAGAGATATATGGGCAAAACTGAAATGTTACACCTGACCCCTAAACTCGATTATGGTACTACACTAGGTGTCGGATCGGGCTGTCTTTAATATGCCAATCAGTGAGATCCTTAGAGGGGGTCAAAACCTGGGTATGTTGGGACAGTCCGAGAATTCATCTGAGTGGGTGATCATAGTGACAGGATCAGCCCCTTTGTCGAACAAAGTGAATGATCAGGGATGCACTCTTTCTGATGGAAACCTAAATTGCTGACAGTATATATATATATATTATATTTTCAAAATGTTTGCAAAAGGTTTTAATTCCTAGGATCCATGTAAGTAGAGAGTGCAACACTGTTCCTTGCAGCCGAGGGAGAGGTCCTCTCTTTTCGGGCAGTGTTTGATCATTATGGGCTGAGAGGTTAAGTGTAAGACCATTGAGGGTAATACCTGATGGGCTAATCTTGCATTTGCCCAYAGYCCTTGGGTTTTCATAAGGTGGCTGGACCCAAGGACCATTTAGTGTAAATGTTGGACCTATTAAGAGTCCATAGTGATGGATTCAGGGGTTCACTGTCTCCTACAATGAATTCAGTCAGGCCTTGTAACAAAGGCTAGGTTGAACCCATGTGGCTGATGTGTAGATCAATGTTTGGATCCCACGCCATACAAAGAGAACCAATTAGGCAGCATGTTAAGAAGTTAACTGAGCACATAAACTTAATGGGCCTAAAGCCTAGTTTCAAATTGGGTTAATTAGATTAATTAAATAGGGCGAATCTGGGTTTGGATCAGCAGATAAGGATAAGACGATAAGTCTTATCGTCTTATCCACTTAAAGAATCCAGATCCAAATAAAGATTTGGATAAGAAAACTCCTAATTTGACTAGGATTAAGCTGATCTTAAACTGCAAATGAGATAAGGGATTATTCTTATCACTTAAAGAGTTCAGATCCAAATAAAGATTTGGATCAGGAAACTCCTAATTAGATTAGGAGGTTGTCTCTTTAAGGCTATAAATAAGAGAGCAGGGCAGACATGCAAAATACACCAGACAAGACACAGAAAAGTGCAAAGTTCTTCCCTGTTCTTGCCACCCCTACCCAATTCGATCTCCACTTGTGGGAGTGATCAAGAATTGTTCTTGATATTGCTTCTTGGTAGAAGAAGCAATCTGAAGTTGTGCTCACCAACCCTCTAATCCATTCTTGCTGAAGAGTCGTCCTACTGATCCTACTTCACCTCACACTATGTCATGTTCAGTGGAAGCAGGTTTTGGTTTTTTCCTTGGGCGTGAACACCTTCATTGGGAGTTACTGCTACTCTGTATCAGGTATATCCATCTCCTCCCTTTTGGTTTCAGATATGGCCCGGTTTGGTTCAAGATTGATCCTTGAAAATGCAGTTTTCTAAAATAGGGAATGCAATTCCCAGATGGGAGAGAGAGAAATTTTTTAAATCTCGCCCAACCTTCTTGTAGGGTTCAGCCATCCGTATGATGGATCTCTCATCCCTTCAATAGCGTGGACTAGTCCCATCCACAACCAACCGAACAGGTGCCGTCCATGAGATGAACATGGTGTCGAATAACGCCTTAGAAATTTGGGAGAACTGTCTAGAGTCTAAACAACATATCTAAGAGAGCGAGAGAGAGAGAGAGAGAGAGTGAGTGAGTGAGTGAGTGAGTGAGTGAGTGAGTGATTGAGTGAGTGAGATATGAGATTGAGAGAAATCTCAGATCTACTTTCATCGCCAGTTCGCCACCATCGTTGTCACTATTGCCGCTGTAGTTTGCCATCGTCGTCGCCGCTACAACATGCAAGTGACCTCTTCCTCTTATTTCCTTATTTCCTTCTTTTCTTCCTTCCTTCCTTCATTCCTTCCTTCCTCCTTCTCTCTCTGTCTCTCTCTCCTAAACTCTCTCAACCATCCACAGCTTCTTACATCTCTCTCATTCTCAAACAGTCAAATCTTTTTTTTTCTTATATTTATATGTATCTTACCCTAATATTCTAATCTAATGTGTAAGATGACGTATCACCTATTAGAGTATTTAAACCATTTGACTTGGACAGTCAAACCGTTGACCTAGAAATCGGTGGCCAAAACGGTTCCATTTCCAGGTCGATTTTTAAAACCTTGAGTGGACCATAAGATCTAGCTTGTTCTGTTTTACCACTTAGGTGTCGTAATCTAGTCTTTTTCTTCGATCAGACCGAATGATCTGATCATTTCATAAAAACCCAAATCCATTCATATCAATTAGGGGGTGTTCATGGGTTTGATTCAGTTTGGTTGTAGGGTGTTTGGACAACCGAACCAACCTAGTCGGGTTGCAAAGTTGATCACCTGAAACCAACCAACTAATAGTAAAAATCGGTTAATTTGAGTTATGTCAATTTGGGTCAGTTTTTGGTTTGGTTAATTGATTCAAAAGATTTAAATTTAAAATTTAAATTTAACTTTTAAAAATTACAACAATATTATTAAAAAAATGAATTTATAATATAGAATAATTTAAATTAAAAAAATATGGAAAATTTTCCATTTTTTCATATTATAAATTTATATTGAAAACATAAAATATTAATATATATTTATAATCAGATTGATTCAATTTTAATCGATTTATAAATGATCAAACCAAACTGACCCGACGTTTGGATGAGGTTGATCGATTTAATCTCTATCATAGATTTGCTCAACATGCCCAAGCAGCGCTAGAAGCTAGCTCTCTGTGATTGCCACCATTTACGATCTATGTCCAATTTCTCTGCGTAATGGACCCCTGCCATAAATAATTATTAAATTGGTTTTAAGTGTATGTTCTTTTTTTCTTGGTCTTTCACATGGCGTTTGACGCGTAGGTGCTTTTGTTAGTAATTAGGGCTGT